CAGTTTGGTCTGTTTTTTTCAGGCTAACAGAAATGCCACTAGTAACTGGCCACAGATTTATAAAGCAGAGACTAAATGGAATAGAGAATTTATGTACCTAAGCTGGTTTACAGCCCATCTAAAAGACATGAATTAAGTAACAATCAACATTAGAAATGTTCAATGACTCACTAGTGGTTTGCATACTTCTTATAAAAAGGTCTAATTAAATAAGGGACCATCATACTTCAGAATGTGTCTCTTGCCAAAACCTTAGGTTATCCTAGTCTTATCCATCTGCCAAGATATTTGCAACATAGCACTATTTAAATTATGTAAAGGAATACATTTTAACCATTTCAATATCACCTATGTAGATGGCAATTTAATTTAGAAGTTGATACTGAGATACTTCTAATTGTACAGGATATACAAAGTTGATATACGTATAAAATACTAAATAGTACAAAGTTATAAAAGATGATGTATAGCATGGTATTCATCATTTTTACCTATAAATTTACAGTTCACTAAAGTAATAAAAATGCTTGTGAGATCATCTCATATTAGAAAGACTGAAGTACCTACACCATTCTGTTTCTATGAAATTGGCTTCTTTTTATACTCCACACATAAGTGATAACATACAGTATTTGTCTCTCTCTGTCTGGCTTATTTCACTTAGAATAATGCTCTCCGAATGGTGGTTGCCAGAGGCTGGGGTGAGGCAGGGAAAACGGGGAGATGTAGGTCAAAGTGCACAACTTTCAGCTATAAGAAGAATAAGTTCTGAGAGTCTAATAAGCAGTATAGTGGCTATAGTTAATAATATAGTATTGTATACATAACAGTTGCCACGAGTAGATTTAAGCATTCTCATTATGTGCACAAAGAGTAACCGTGTGAGGGGATGGATGTGTTTGGATGGGTTAATTATCTCGACCTTGGTAATCATTCTACAGTGTGAACCAAATCATATCATCATACACTTAATATATATAGAATTGTATGTTCCAGTTAGTCCTCAATAAAGTTGGAGAAAATTATAAATAAATAAATAAATAAATAAATAAATAAATAAATAAATTATTTTTTAGAAGATTAAAGTATATGATATGAAGGAATGGAAGTGGAAAAAAAAGCTAAATTAGGAGTAAAAGTACTCAGTAGGAGATAAATCAGACTAGACCAAGGGATTGTGTATGGATGTGGAGCAGCAGTATGTCCTGCTTCCACAGAGTCCTCACATTCATATCTTATGGGATTTAGTCTTATTTGCTCTCTCTGGTTTCCAAATGCATAAAACCTTCTACCTTTTAAATATATTAAAATTTGCAATATACGAAAAATGAATTCTAAGATGAACAAAAAATACTCAATGATTTTACCAACTATAAACATACTTGAAAAAGAATATGAAAGGGAGTGTGTATATACACATATAACTGAATCACTATGCTGTACACCAGAAATTAACACAACATGGTAAATCCACTATACTTCAATTAAAACAAAACATGAAGAAGATTCATCAGTTTTAATCTTTTGCACGTCACGTAGTTTCTTGTGGCCTCCACTGTGCTCTCTTATGTTTATACCCTCTCCCATTATTGGCTTATTTTAGACCAACTTGTCTGGACACAAGAATTGCCTGGGGAGTTCATTAAAATGATTCTCAAGACCTTGTTCCAGAGAGTCTGACCCAATGAGTCTGGAACAAGGCCCAGGAAACTTTTTTTTTTTTTTTTAGTGCTCCAGATAATTTTATGATTAAGTTTGGCAAACTTGGTTCTAGACCCTGATCTAACCCATCCTCTCAATTCAGTTTTATTTCTAATCGGTGTGGGCAGTATTTTCACTAGCTGTATTTAAGGGAGAACGGGAGAAGTCCACTTCCCAGCCTGCTCAGTGAGAAATACCCTCACTGTTTCAGTATAAAAGGAAAGCACAACTAGGACTGACTTGAAGTCAGACCAAAGGAAAACTAATTAATACCAGACCTGTTTCTTGATGGAGGTTTTGATAGAGGTGTGTTTTAAGGAACAGGAAGGTCTGAGTTACTCAAGTGCAGACTGAAAAGGAAGTGAGCACAATAAATGGACGCAGAGGGCTGAGAGGGCTGGACAGAGAGAAAACTGATAAATCACCTACGTCATAAACAAGACTAAGCTCTGCTCCTTGGAAATGTACTAAACCCAATAGTTGTCTGACAATCGACTTAATTTGCAAAAGGACCATGCAGATTGTGTTGATGTTAATTTTTTTTAAAAAATGCAAATGACAATACTTCAGCAGAACAAATTATGAATAGAGACAGCTCTGGTGAATTCACTAGCACATAGAAAAAAGTTTAAATGTCAGATTTGATCATAACCATGTGAGTCAAGTTTAACCTTGACTGTGTCTATACAAGTGGTATCAAGAGATGTTTTGGAGGAGAATCAAGTCAGTATCCCAGATGAGGCTGATACTAATGTAAATGGCATCACTGAACATCAGTAAATAGTCAAGTTTTAAAAATCATAAAGATAATAAATGGGTATGTTAGTATTTTGACTTTGTCCTTTATGTCCCTCCTTATTCTACCACTCTAACCAGTGAATTTTGTCGAAATTTTTGCCTTCTTTAGTGTATCTGTTAGCAGTATAGTCAGCAGGGGAGGTGTGGGTAATGCATTAAGAATCTTACTGAAAGAAGAAACTCCCAGAACACAGTCTAGAATCCAGCCCTTGACTCCAGACACTCACTGGTTTTAGGAACTCCCTTATTTTATCTAATCTCATCTACCACTGATTGCAACACATTTCCCAATTTCAGAAATATTAAAAAGTGAAAAAAATGTGTACCTTAGAATTGAAAATACATGAAACTCTTCAAAAACTAAAACACACAAACAAATTGCCTGCTGAGGTTTTAAAGGTGTTTATCAAAGAAACTCAAAGTCTGGCAAATAAAAGTCTGGGGGACCGGCCCATTCCCAAATTAGTTCCCAGGGCACTGATACCATGTGAGGATGCCATGAGCTGCTAACAGTTTGTCACAGCAGGAGAACCTTTGCTCTCTCGGGTGAGGCTATGGTAGACAATGGACAAGGGGCATCTCTCAGAGCAGATTCAGAGCAGCCAGGCCGGGGACCATGGGATCCTCTCTACCAGCAGAAAGAAGAGATCCTGCTATTCTAGCCCAACAGAATATGGTAGATGCCAATGACTCATGACCACTGGAAGTTGTTTCCCCTCCTCTTTTCTAAAGGTAGCCTTACTGAATTTATCCCCTTTATCCTCTTCCATTGTCCATGGAGGAAGTAATTGAAAATACCACCCAGCATTCAGTGAGTGAATCATGAAATCGCTGTATCTTTATCAAACTCAAAGCCAATACACATCCTTCAAGGATTCTGAACTTGGACCTGGGATGCAGTAAAAGAATGAGATTTGAGTTTGCATCTCTTTTGGAAGGGGTAAACATGTTTGTAGTATACAGGAGGGTTGCAGTATTTTAGGCAAGGACGTCACAAAATTGTTCATATATAAAGAGCATATGGAGAGGAAAAAAAGGCCACAGTAGTAATTTATGAATATACATCTATTATTGCTATTTGGGGAAAAATCCAGCCTTCACTATAGGAATTATCTCTGTGCCATTTCATTTTGATATATATCTTCTAGGATTGCTAGCTGTAAGATCTCCAGTGCTGGAGGGCATTTGCCATCACGTGGAAACAGCTTGCCTAAAATGAATCCACCATAGAAGAGAGTAAATCCTGGAGAGGGGTGGGAGAGAGTAAAACGTGTGTGGGGGGACAGGGAAAGGGCAGAAAGAGGAGAGAAGAGGGAAAAATAAGGTCAGAATCCCTAGAAACATTAGAAATTACAGAATAAAGTTCTTTTCTTACTGAAGTATAGTCAGTTTACAATGTTGTGTCAATTTCTGGTGTACAGCACAGTGTTTCAGTCATATATATACATACATATATTACTTTTCATATTCTTTTTCATTATAGGTTACTACAAGATATTGAATATAGTTCCCTGTGTTATGCAGTATAAACTTCTTTATTTTATATGTAGTAGTTAGTATTAGCTTGAGATTTGCAGAAGAAAGTTCAGAGTCAGTTTTCTGTCACTGTCCATTGAAAGATGCCTCATTGATACAGAATGAATTGTCTTGATTCAAATGCCACAATAGTTTTGCAAAGATGGGGTCAAATAAAAAAAAACTGTTATGGACTCACTGTCATTAGATCAGTGAATGTGGAAAGAGAAAGCAGATCTTGTATCTTACTTTTATAGAAAAGTCGAATCTGAACGTAACACAGTACACAACCATGAAACAGCCTCCTCGTGAGGTCATGTCAAATAGTCATAATAGTGAACACTTGTTGAATTCTTACGATGTGCTATTTTACATCATTAATGGCATCAATTATACACCATTAATGATATATTTATACTAAATCCTTCCATCCTATCAACAACCAAACTAAGTAGTTTCACTGACTCCATTGTACAGACAAAAAACCTGAGGCTTAGAGAAGAGAAACAATGTGCCCCAGGTCACACAGCCAGCTGGGAACAGAAGCCAGGCTCTTTGTCCTTACTCATCCATTCCATGAACCGCCATACTCAATCTGGGACAAGTGTAGCACTTCCCAAATACCAATGGGATTCCTGTATTTATCTTCATCTCCTGTCCAAGTCCAGAATGAGAGAAAAAGTGCTTTCCCTCTGCCAACAATACCACTAACATCATTACATTGGCATTATTCAGCAAATTGCTCTGACTTAGTAAGCATGGGGAAAACTCCCTGTCTAATAAGCCTTAGGGACGGTTTTCCAACAAACACAAATTCAACCAGAAATAGACCCCAAAATTCAAAAGTAGTACAAGAGGTGAAATTTATTATTATGAATTCTACCTCAAGATTTATTTCAAGACCCGACCAGCTGTATTTCAGCGTTGGACAACAGAGCAGAAGCTAATTAGCCTGGCTGTTACTCAGCATTGATGCTCAGACTTACCCTACTTGAGTCCTTGCGGCGGGACACCATTTCAGAAAGCTGCGTGTTCAAAGGAATGTTGCTTCTGCAAACAGCATTCTCAATGTCAAAGGATAAAGCATCACGGTTGTGGGGAAAGTTGTTGTACATCTACCAGGAAAATATTCATCAGCTACACAGTTGGTCATTCCCTTTGCCTTGGGCTATTTGGACATACGTATTAAAATACCCACAAGATCTCCAATCTTAATTACAAAGCTCGAGAAAAAAATGTCCAGCGAAAGTTCATTTCAGGTATAAAATAAGAACCTCTTTTTAACTCCTTTGCCTCAAGATTTACATAAACGTGAGGGCAAAGAAATCAAATGATAAAAACAAAAAAACCAGACACTAGAGATTAGAAATGAAAAGTAAACCAGCCGCGTGCTAGTTTCTTGCTGCAAGTTCCAGCGGATACCAAAATCAATGCGACTGAGAAGATGTAGCGTGGAGAGAAAATCTCCCAGGATAATCAAGGGATATATTTCCAAGTCTATTTTCCCCCACAGAACTGTTTTGTTTTCTCACATCAATGAGCTAGAATAAAATGTGGATCCCATGATCAAGCTGGCAGAAGTCATGCTCCCTACCTGGATGCTCGAAAATTGTAAATCACAACTTTACAAGGATTTAACTTTTCCCTTTCCAAAATAATCAAATGTTGTGGTGAGGGGGGCCACTAATCATGACAAAAAATATACTGCAAATTCTTTCTTTTGGTGCCAAGTCCAATAAGTTCCCTGAGTGAAATTAAATGCACGATCTTATTCCAAACCACAGCTTCCCTTGGGGATGTGCAAATCTCAAGTGGGGGCTGAAAGGCCAGTTGTATCAAAGCCCAGGGTTACACCCATTTTTTCAAGTTTTTTTTTTTTCCTTTTTAAACTACTGCATGTAGTATAAACGGCTCAGGCCCTCTGCCTTCCAGCCTTCAGAGTCAAATCAGCGTTTCATACTTTCCACATTCTGCCTCTGAAAAGTGGGCCAGTCCCTGACTTCTCTTAGTTTCTCACAGTTTTTATTTATTTTAAGAGATTCTCTGCTGAACTCTAGGGAAGGGAGGGAAAAAAAAAGGAGAGAGAGTGAGGAATCTGTTATGTTGTAAGCAATTACTGGCTCCATCTCTTAGATCTTCAGTATCACAGGAATTAGAGATGGAAAAGACCCATTAGGTCATCCTGTACACCCTGTGCCAGCACAGCACTGTTCCCTACTGTAGATTATCTCTTCTGAGAGTTTTTCGTATGTTTAAAGGGTAGCCAATGATAACATGGTTTCATTTTATTTCTTTTGCTGCTTTGTTCCGTCCAGTCTTCAACATGCCATTTCTATGGATGGGTCTAGGGTGACTTCTCAAAGGACATTTGACTGCCCACGAAGAATTAAAACAACATTTGCGCTAGCCAACAACTATGTTCCATACGTTCAGTGCGGAAGCATCCATAAAAACAGGTTCTAAAGAGCCAACAGTTAGTTCCAGGGATGGAAATGTTACATATAAAACAATTTTACATAGACATATTCTATATATCCAGTACATTATTCCACAAATATAACTGTGTGAGTGTACATATATGTTCACAGAAAGTGCATACAAATACTCATCATTACCCCAGAGTGTTTGTTTCCTAAAAGTTGTGCCAAATGCTGCATAATTCACGAAAATGTGATCCAAAATATTTAAGGTTATGTTTCTCACAATTTTCTTATCTCTCTTAAGTCACACATTTTAAATGTCAACTCACAGAGAGAAATATTTAATCTCAAAAATACTCCTCCACTGGGAAACTCTTTTAACTCTTCCTTAAGTAGTTTTGGTTTTTCCTTCTTTGTTCTTCTCCTAAGATAATCGAGTGTCTTGCTTTCCCTTTTACCTGCCAGCCTAGGTATCCCTACCTAATAGCCGACCAGTCTCATCCCTCGGGAGAAGAAATACAATGTGAGGGAAACCGAGCAGTAAGGATGAACACCCTGTGTGTTCTTAAACGGCTACCATCTCACCTACTGCTCTTGGAGGCTAATTGCAGGCAATCAAATTAGTATTACTATTTGAAAGCACATCATTTTGTGCTGGGATCAGAATCAACACTGATAGTATATGATCTAACAAAAAATACATATTCTCAGTTATACAGTATTTTCTAGGTGTAATGCAGGCTATATATTCATTTTTAATATGTTCTATCTGCTGGCCCATCTTTGATTTGTGTGGTAGAGAAAAATGACTTCTCACTGCTCTGCGAGGAGGCAGGATAGTTGAGTAATCAAGAGTCTGGAGTATGTTAGCTATCTTGATTGTGGTGGTTTCAATGGTGTATACATCTATCAAAATTCACCAAAGTGTGCATCTGAAATATGTGTAAAGGTTAAAAAAATCCAAAAAAAAAGTGTCTGGAGTATGGACCCTTTACAATTTTTTGTGATTGTGGGCACTACCAGTTACCTCCTATGTGACTGGTGGCTTATATACTACTCCTCAAGAAAAAGAGTCCTATTTACCCTCAATACAAATGTATGTCATAGAGCGGTTCAATTTACTGTGTCGCTTAAAGAGCACAACAGAATTAGAGAACTTTAGAGGAAGAAAGTTTGGGCTCCAAAACCCATCGGGTTCTTCCTCACTCCTGCTGGGGAAGCCTCTGAGCTTATTCCTCCCTTGACAAGGGCCCTTCTCATGACTGGCTCCTAGGAATACTCCCTCCCTTCAAAGGTGTCCTCCCTGACCACTCTGGCTAATGGGGACCCCCCACTAAGCCTCTTACAGAACCCTGCTTGTTTAGCGCTGATCAGAATCAATTATTGCATTGTTCATTTACGGTTTAGCCCGCTCCCTAAAGAGTGGCATGGTGTTAGGGTTAAGGGCATGGGCGCGAAAACCATCACCCCTGGCTTAAATTCCTGCTCTGCCACTTATCAGCTCCTTCTCTTTGGCAAGTTACTCGTACTCTCTCTCTTAGCTGTAAATGGTTGGAAAACAGTAGTTTCCACTCACGGGCTTGTTGTGAGGAGTGAGTGAGTAAAAACATGTAAAGCCCTTGGTAACTAACATGTGTGCTCCCCATAAACAACAGGTGCTAGTGTGTTAGTATTATCTCCCTTTGCGTTTCAAAGCCTAGCCTAATGCTGGGACATGATTGGCACTCAATAAATGTGTACTAAAGAAATGAAAGAATGGATGTTCATGGAAACTTCCAACAATGGGAGATGTTGCTCTTTGAGGTCATATATATGCCTGTCAGTCAACCGAATTGCTGAAAGAAATTTTAGGAAGATTTCAGAAGTCATTTTATAACTGTGTAGGGGAGGCAGCTAGCTAATGACTAAGATTTCTTCCAACTGGAAGATTCTAACACTGATCTGAGGTCGTGCTCTTATGGCCTCCCCTCTTTGGGCCCTGCTTTTCTCAAAGGTAAAGAAAAGGTTTCTGACTAGATAATCTCCAGGGTCCACCCTATTCTGACATGCTACAATTCTTCATTTAAGCCAGCTAAATCTGTTACCCCTCTATTTTTCCTGCAGAAATTCCCATCAAAGAGTTTTCCATCCGACAACTGAAGTCACTTGGTTCAAATGGCACCTAGGACAGAGTTATTCTACCCCAGGGTCAGGGAGCCCTAACAACTGGTGACTGTGCTGCAGTCACCGCCACTTGGTGACAGGAACATAAACAGTCCATTTCCCATGCCTCCTCTTTCCACTACTACATTCTCTTTCACTTCCCACCTTCCACAGCAATACAGCCTTGCCTTATGCATCTCTGAAGCAGAGGAATTCCACCCACGCAGCACTGCAGAAGTTAGAGCCAGAAAACCCCTATTAGGTCATGCAAGCCACACCCCTTCCAGAGCAGGAACATCCTCTCCAGCTGACATTTCAGCTCTCCTTCTGGCTCCAAAATGTGGCTGTGCTTTAGTGATTCCTAGATATGGTTTGAATAACAGTTTATAAGCATTCTGGGATCCTTTGAAAATAAAGTCTCCGTATAAAGTTATATTGCTATTTTGTTTACTATAAAGTGGTTTTGTTGTTGTTGTTTCTGTTAATCTTCCTGGGAATAGCCACAGGAAGATTTCTCAAAGAATAAGTTGTACCAACAAGCCTTTAACCTGATTTTGATCAAATCTGATAGTCAGCCATTAAGAACCTAGCTGAGTAAAGCCCTGACTGCCCTGCTGTAAATGTACAATTAAAAAAAAAGTTTTGAAAACAACTAAAATATTATTTAAAGTATTATGTGTTAATTACTGCTAATATATTTGCTCACGTTTTCCTAAGTTAAAGTATATATTTATTTATTGCCAATATAAATTCTGCTTATTTTTTAATCATTTAACAATGCTTTATTGCCTTTGGGTATGAAGACTCATTACTGTTAATTTGTTAAATGTTCAACATTTTAAAAAATCTGTTTGCTTATTTCATTGCTGAACATACAAATCCAACTTAACATTATTCCAAGTGACAAGAAAGCCAACTGATTAGCACAAATATCAAATACCACTGGGGACTCAAACCAAATCCTTGGCTACCATCCAGCCACTCCTCTGGCTCAAAGACAATTTCATTATTTCTCTGTTAGGATCAGAACGTAAGAGTGGGGAACAAAGTCCTAGACGACACAGTAAGTAGCACTTTGCATACTACATAAGGCTTTCATCTGTTAAAGAGCTTAAGGCAAATAACCTAGGATAATATTTCTTTTTACCATACACACAAACAAATCCAGCATCATTGCACCCATTTTACAAAGGTGAAAGCTTGATTGTAGAGAAACAGCACCACTGGTCATTGTTACCCAATGTGACAGCCAGAGAAGAGCCAAAATCTGTCTCTTACGTGCTAACACATCTTCATGTCCAAAAGACCACATTTTCTTAATGAATCACCAGTAACAGGAGCTAGAAAGCACTCCACAAAATGCAAAACACTATTGAAATGTATGGTAGGCATAACGTTCTGAACTTGGATAATTTGCCTTTTCCATCTAAAACTATATTAAAAAGAAGAATTATTACAAGGAGCAGTACTAGACTCAATAGATTATTAAGGAGTTGCTGTTATTTAAGATAATACAATAGGTTTCATATTTATCAATGTTTCCTAAACTAAGGATAATTTCCTGATTTTACAAAGGCTACTATTCAGGTTGGAAAGCTCTGGGTAACTGCTGTTCATTCTAACACACAAATAGTAATACAAAGGGACCCAATTCTGGGCCAGAGTTGGGAATAAGCCTCAACTTTCGAAACCTTTCAGTGAAACAAAGCCCAGAGAAGGGTAGAGACAGATCCACACCACTGAGAGATTTCAAATTTCAAGTTTTCAACAAAACTAGAACAAGTTTTCCAAATATCAAACCAAAAGAAGGGCATAAAGGGTAAATAGCTATTGAGGAGATCATTGGGAACACAATTTTTGGATCAGGTTAGGAGAACATAGGCTGGGTATAAACTAGCAGAAATTAGTTGAAGGTTATAGTGACCACGGGGCTAAGTGAACAAAAGGAATACAATAGTTCAGTAGTTTTACAACCTAAAAGGTAAGTAAATGAATCAGTGTGGAAGGGCGTCAAAATTTCCCTAAAAGAAAGCTTTCTATATAGAAATGCAGTAATTGAAGGCAATATAAAAACACCAGCGTTTATGCCATTTTCACCAAGATATCTATTTTTCCATTTACACATCTGCCCATTTAAACATAGACACCACCTCATGGTGGAAAACACCCTGAATCTAGAATTTTTCACTTTAGGGACTAATAGGAACAGCCAACAAGTCTCACTTCAAGTTCATTTGGAGTGGTGATGACCACAGGAAGGCTGCTCAGATCCCTGTACTGAGAATTCGGAGGCCTCACACTAGTTCAGCGGGAAGAGTCTGTATTCAATTATTGCTGCCTGTCATGGCCGTGCGAGGGCAAAATCCAAGCCCACCTGCCACTTGCTTTTCTGATCCAGTCCAACTCTCTTCACTTACAGTGGAGGAATCTGAGGCATAAGGGCTTTACATTTATGAATAAAGAGCTGGAGTGACTGCCTAAGGGTAGACTGATATCAGGTTGTTGTTCTTTGTGGAATGCAAGTATCCTGCTGTCAAGTTCCCTGCCCTTTCTTTGTGCCATTTCATTCCAAACACTGATTGTTTGGAATTCAACAAGATATAACTAATACACAGTTGTACTTCTATATTAATATAGTCTTAATGGATTCTACAAAAAAACCCATAATGCTTAAATGTCTTCTTAAATCTTTTCAAGCTCCTAATTTCTATCTTTCTGGAAAAAAAAAAGTTCTTACTAAAACTTAATTTCTCTAA